TGAATTGAATTGAATTGAAAGAGCTGTAAATGGAGTGATAGAGTAGGTTGTGGTGGATGTACTGCAATAATATCCTATAAAATCCTGACAAACAGCTGGTGCAACTATCACATAAAGTTACAGTAAGTCTGCTTAATTAGAGCCGCAGTGTAAAAGTGAATTAGCTTTGATGTACTAAACCAACAGTACAGGGACTGATGAGGGTGTAATGTTAAATGCCAGCAGCACCATTCTGTGTGGGGGAAGCAGTGATAATTTCCACTGTGCAGCTGAGAATGACACATGGTATTTGACTTGTGATTATTCTGATCCTCTCAGTTATTCCCCTCAGGTGAAGAAGGCAGCCACAGAGGAGGAGGATCAAGAAAGATGAAGACAGAGCAGGTTGCTGAGAAGGTTCTGGCTTTCTGGTGAACTGAATTCAGTTATTGCACTCCTCCTAAGTCTGGGAAACTGAAGTGAGCGTTCTCTTATTACTGTTAGTAATGGACAAGGCTGGTAGTTCTTAAAATATTTTTCTTATTGTTGGCAAGTCCCACATAAAGACACTCCATCATCTGTCTGATACGCACAGGCTGCCACAAAACCTTTTTTTATTGCTTATTAGGGTTAATAAATCCTTTATTACGTACTTATCAATACTTAATTAAGCTCTTTAGGGGTGCTGGATCATAAGTGGGATCAGTGCTTATCAAGGTTAAATCCTTTATTATGCATGCAATAAATCCTTTATAATTGACATACCTAAACCGTCATTGTTAGACCTTTATTAAGCTTTTGTTGTTGCTTTACTGAGATTTCTACACACTTTATTATGCACTTATTAACAGATAACTATAATGCACTTACTAAGAATGTTCTCTTTATCTTTATCTGTAATTTTGTCCTTTACTTTTCATCAACCTTGACAACATGCTCATGATGGGGGAGCAGCGAAAAACAAACAACTGTGTATGTGCATAACAAAGTATTTACGAGGCATTGTTCTCACTAGAGATCCGGTAGCTGCAAAAAGCATGGGGTGCTGTGGTAGCTAACCCGGTAGAGGTACTAAGTCCTCACCACAGAGGCCTGGGTTTGAATCCAGCCCTTTAATGCATGTCATTTTAATATAATAATAATAATAATTTTTTTTCACCATCTTCTCCTCCCTCCCTCCCTCCCTCCTCTTTCCACTTACCACAAAGGCTCTCCATGTTTACTGTCTGATTGCAAATGTTAAAAGCGCATAAACTCTCTTCTGCTGCCAAGGATTAATGGAATCTGTGCTTATTTGCTTTTCCCAAATTCCTGAAATCTTAGAAACCTGACTCAACTCTGAATATAAAGTGCATTGTAGCAGCACAAAGTCAGCTGGAGGTTTGCTTTGTAACTTTGTTCACGCTGTATCAGAGTGCTGCTGACTGCACTCTGCTGTCAGTTCTGAGGCTGCAGTTTGTAGTGCGGTTGTGTTGGACTGCATTATATTGCATATTTGTGTTGTATGTATTTGTTTATGTTTGCAGGCACTGGCTCTAGAACTGAATGGATGCCGTAGCTTTTAGTGACACAAGGGGGCGCCTGGAGCTTACTTTTCATAGGGTCTACACAGGACTGGAGGACTGGCTGCCTGATCTTGCAGTTTCATGTCTGCTGAATATTTTCATGCAAACAAAAATCATTACAAATTAGTGTGTAAAAGCATTGCTACAACCCACTAAAGTTCATTTTAAATTCAGAAGATACCTAGTATATTTCAGTTTTCTGCGATGGTGTGGATGGGCTAATGTCGATACTGGACCAAAAGGATAAGGTAGATTTTTCACAAGTGCTAGTCAAGTCGATGTTATTTATATAACCCAGTACCACAAATCACAGTTTGCCTCAGGGGGCAACAGCTGTGACACAGAAAACAGTCTTGGTTTATCAGAGCATTTTCTCTCTGTCAATAGCGGTGACTAACACAAATGTAATAATTGGATCCTTGTAAAATGAAAATATTTTTAGTGCAGCTTTAAAGCTCCCCTCCAGTCAAACATGTTCTCCCTGTTCCTACAGTGTGATGTCTGAATGATGTCTGTGCAGAGTTTGACTGTAGAAGGATGTTTTCACATTCATCTGCTGAAAGTGGAAAGTTTCTCTGTGCTCATTGAAAATCTGATTTTAAGGGGCGGGGCCTACCAGCATGATTTGTGACATCACAAAGTTTGGAAGAGTCAGTCCTGCGGTCCCAGGATCCAAACTGTGTACAGTGTGATGTAGAAACTTGAAGCCAGGCCCAGTGCACATCCCAACTGCAGATGGACTTCTCTGTAACGGAGGGCGAGACAGTTTGCTGTCCCGGCCAGAAAAAGACGTTCTAACGAAAATCTTAGAAAATCAAAGTTTTAACTCACTAATAAATTTTTTTTCAAGGGCCAGCTGGTGAGGATATACGCATCGCCCCCCAGGCAGTGACAGTTGCCAGACTGCACAGCTCAGCTTCCAAGCCTCCGTATAGCTGAACTACTGTGGGCCACCTGTTTCTGGGCCTAGCTGTAAAAACATGGCGGTTCAACATGGCGGACGGTCCGCTTTTGCTAGCGATAAAGTAAATTAACAAACCTAACTGTCTAACCTAATGATTTCGCCGAAGGTTGGAGGCTAGTTAGTTTGATAGTGAATCCATACATTAATGAAAACATACCCTATTGAATATTATGTTCCATTTCTGACAATAGGTCACTT